AGATGTGGATAAGAGACAGACCTTACCCCGATGTCAATCAACTTCTTAATGAGAATGGAATGGTCTACAAGGTCAAAGGCCTTAGTAAAATCAATTGCACACAAATTAACATAGGTTCCACCACACTCAAGATCTTTAAGGACTGTGTCAATTAGGCTTATAAGGTAATGGGATGTCGATGATTTCTTCCTACTTCCAAATTGTCTAGAATCTAAACTAACATTAATATCCTCCACGATCCATTTAACTAAAAAAGATTCAAAGACTCTAGCGAGTATGTGTGAGGGATATTGGTCTAAGGTCATTATATGATTTGACACTCTTGACTTTAGGAACTGGAATGGCAGTTGCCTTTTTCCAGAAGCTAGGGAATATACCTGCTTTAAGGGCACAATTAAAAATATCTGTTATTGGCGGCGCTAGTTCAGGGGCAAAGTCTCTAAGTAACCGTACAGGTAGGTCCTCAGGATGACCTGCCTTTTTTGGAGCTAACTTGCCAAGCAAAGCTTTCACTTGCCCGACAAATATATGTAATAGGCAGGCAAAGTTTTAATGTTACAGAGCTGTTTAATTCCCTTATGCCATTTGGCCATATTGTTAGACTTTAGATTCATTAGGGAAGTGCGATAATAAGATTGCTTGGCTTCTCTGATACCATCTCGCACCATATTGCGGAGCTTCCTCCATTCCTGCGTTTTGCCATGCTTTTCATACGCCTTCTGTCGAGCATCTAGTAGATTCCGGATTCTAGATGTCATCCATGGTCGATCTGCTTCTCTCATACGTTTACTAATAACTGGGAAGTTATCAGAGTATGCTCCATTTAGCACAGAGATAAACTCACTGGTTTTTGAATTAATATCATCGATGTTATACAGGTTGTCCCATTCATATGCAGTGATCCACTGTCCGAAACATCTCACAGAGCTGTCGTGGTACGGTTGAGTTTTAATTTTATAACATTTACTTCGTGGCAATTCCTTTTTAGAATGCATCAAGATAGCATTGTGATCACTGCGTCCCTATGGAGCCAATCGTTTGGGGCACTATACATTTCAGGGTAGTTCATGAATATCTTATCGAGCATTGCGTCCTTCCTGGTGGAGAAATGTATTACTTGGGAAAATCCTACACACGTCTCAACGCCGGCAGTGTTTAGCTGGTTAAAATCCCCTAGCACGATAATGGGTGCCTAGATATCCACAGAACGGATCATATCAATGGTGTCGATGATGTGTTCAATCAGGTTATCCCCTGCTGGGGCAGACGGTGGAAGTAAATACAGTACAACCAAAATAGAAATTAGGTCCTTGTTTACATCTGCGAGGCATGGTAACTACCCAAAGGCATTCAAAACAGCAATGTGCATGAAACTACCGGGTTGCTGGTTAATTTTCAAGGTACTACATGGCTCATTTATTTTTTATACTTAGGAGTTAATTTGTAAAACTCGCACACAAATCATACGACGTCACTGACAACGCCAGGGACGGTAACTCGTTTTTGAGATTAATTTTCCGAATAAATACTAAATAACTTCTAATGACAAACTATTGTCTTCAGTTGTCTTTGTTGGTCATTCATCTGTCATTTTATCCATTTTTTCGGTTATATTAGCATTCTCATTAATCTATAAAACACCCACATAACAACGTCACGTTAGATCGTCGGTGGGGACGCCGTGGTGACGCCGGTAGGGTCAAATTTCTTCGGAAGGTATCAAGATGATAAACAGTTTCATTGGACTAAATTCTTGCTTATGTTAACCACATGCTTACCTAAGATTATACTGACACTGGTTTTAAATGAAATGTCTAACAACTTTGGTTTGTATCAATGTTTTAATAATTACATAAAACTATGTCACAAATACGTATGCAAAAATGCTGTTTTGTATTTTTCTTGAAATCCGTATTCGTGATCACCATTATCATACACAGTGTAATAGATTCAAGTAAGATGTTTCAAATGATATTCCCAGCGTCATTCCTTGAAACGGGACGGTACGTATACTACGGTACCGCTTGAGTTCACGATGTACACGTGACATGGGTCATATCATGTAGAGATAATTTTTTGTCCCGAATTATAATTTGTATTTTTAATGTATTACTAGAGACAGGTCAATGCATTCAACAATTATGTGCCTATTCATTGTACTGTCATTTACTATCAACTATTTGCCCCGGCTTCACTAATTTTTTAATTGATTTAATATGCTGAATCATTATTAATGGTATATACCTATTATACATTCGATTAATTAATCAACAAATGTCTCATTTATCACACTATCGTAAATAGGCCTATTGAAATATGAAGCATTATTAATTTTATTAAACCATTATTATTATTATTATTAATATTACTATTATTATTATTATTATTATTATTATTATTATTATTATTTTATATATATTATTTATCAACCATATTAACTTTGAAAACATGAATTAGCCTGTGTGGATAAAATTATCACAGAAAATAAACTTATAATTTATAAGATTATTTTTGAAACAGAATATATACCTATTATACATTCGATTAATTAATCAACAAATGTCTCATTTATCACACTATCGTAAATAGGCCTATTGAAATATGAAGCATTATTAATTTTATTAAAGCATTATTATTATTATTAATATTGGCGCAGAAAATAAATTTATAATTTATAAGATTATTTTTGAAACAGAATCAAATACAGAACGGTAGATAACATTTTTATTCAAAAGCAGGTTTTGCATGGACGTAATTTTATTTAATATGCTGATTAATATTATCTCATTAATCAAACTATCGTAAAACTATTATTATTACTATTAATATTATTATTATTGTTATTATTATTATTATATTTTATTATTGTTATTATTATATTATTGTTGTTATTATTATTATTATTATTATTATTATTAATTTACGATAAAACAGGAGGGAGGTATGGAGCACACAAAATATTAGTTAGCATTTTGATTTCACAAACATAAGGTGATTTACTTAAATTGTCATTATCAGTGGCGGCCTCAGGAATGCAAAATAGGATAGCTGTGGATAAAAATTATCACAGAAAATACACTTATAATTTATAAGATTATTTTTCAAAAAAGAATCAAATAAATAAAATAAAGGGGGGGGGGGGGGTGCAGGGAAGGACTTGCACAATTTGGGAAAGTAGATCACCTGATGAGCCCCACCATGGTTGGGGCTGAGGAAAGAAAATTTATGATTGTGACACCTCTAGATTGCCGGAAATGGCACTCTCAGACCTAAATTTTAATTATAATTTTGCTTTTGTTTTTTCCATTAAAAAAAAAAAAAATTTGAAAAGTTTAGGGTTGGCTCGGCCCCTCTAGAATTCGCCACTGCTTATTATGACGTCATTGTGAGATTGCGTCAATGTAACACTGGAGTTTGTAATATTTTGGTATCACTAAATGTATAATTATTGTTTAATAATGGCTACAGTATATAAAATTCAGTTGACTAACTATAATTTTTTTTTTTGAAATTAGGAAAAGCAGTAATCCTATGTATGTAGATAATATTAAACACATATACGTACGGGTCATAATACCGTAATATACAAAAGGAATACATCGTTTATAGTAGAAATTGTGCACTTTTGAGTTTGTAAAAACATTGGCCTAATAAAGTATACACGCTTCCAATTTTAAAAGCGTTAAAAGTACATTGTTTTCACAATAAATTTAGCCTCTGATAACCGCTGCACCCATGGTTATGAAAAGTATAAACAATTGCGTTTTTACTCAGTTTTGGTCCGGAAAATATGTAATGCACTTCGAAAAGTGAACAGGCAAAGTTCATGAGTCATACGTAATTGTTATTCTTTCCATGAAGATTGGTGAAAAGTTGGGTGGGGGGGCGACAATCGATATGACGTGTCCCCCACCGATCGACGCCCATGCCTGGCATAGGGGTGTTCGATCATTTCGGCCGCCGCGCCAAATGTATGGAACGCCAAAGGGGCCACCGAATACACAACTGCCGCCAATGAGAACGTAGTCATACAACAGCTGGATACGCCATTAAAACAAGAATATTAAATCTATATTTGTTTAAAGATACAGTAAATCATTATTTTTATTCCCGAAACTTAGAAATACCGGGTCGGTGTCCGGCGGGGTATAGTTTCATTGGTAGTTAAAATATTATGTTTTTGCTGTTTTCTTTGTTATCTCATTTTGTTTTCAATATTTTTTTCTTTTCTAACTATGTATGGTCTATCACGGACTTCACGGATGAAAAAAACACTCATGGGTGA